ACCTCCAAACCATAGCACCCAGCTTAATGACATCTTTTGGGGGGTTGTTTTTATGTGTTACTTTTTAAAACATGCCTAGTAGAGATTTGGGGACTTTATATGCATACTGTGGTAGTCACCTTCAAATGACCCCATCTCCTGTTGTGCACAGACCTGTGCAGTCCTTCCACCTGGCCTATGTGACCAGTAATGTGTCAGAAGCATGATATGTGTGATGGCTGCTTTTATGTCAGCTTGACTGGGTTGAAGGGATAGCCAGGTAAAACATTATTTCTGGGTGTGACTGTGAGGGTGTTTCCAAAAGAGCTTTGCATTTGGATCCATAGAGCTCAGCAAGGCAGCATCTGGGTTCCTCCAGGGGGCCATGTCAAATGCAAGTGTCAAGGGTGAACAGCAGAAGGACTGGGGCCCACTGAGAACTCAGGATCCTCTCACCAGACCATTACCATGGTGGGGCATACATCACCATTCACACCTCTTCTGCTCAGGAAGCCACCCTGTGGCATCCTGGATGCCCACAGAGGGTCAGTCCCTGAGATACTGTCCTGGAGGGAAGTAGTAGAGAGGGTGACCCCCACTTTCGATGACCCTTAACTTCATCACCAGCCCATGAGGTCTCCCCACAGATACTTCTCGGAGCTTCCTGCTAAGACTCAGGATGTAGAAATGGTTCCCTGAGGAGTCAAGGATGGGGAAAGAGCTGAAAGGTGGGCAGTGGGAAAGAAAGGGAATCTGTTAGGTGACCTCTGATAAAGGTTTTCCTCCTGGATAAAAAAGGGAGGAAAGAAAAGCCTTTCCCTCCAGCCTTTGGAAGGGTGTGTGTGAGGTCTGCAGCTGCAACAGTCTCCCACCAGCCACGGGAGACAAGCTTGAAGAGGGACCAACACATTGGGTACAACACTATTCACAATGGCCAATGTGTGGAATTAACCTGGGGTCCCTTCTATGGATGATGGATAAAGAAATGTGGTACAGACCAGGTGTGGTGGTACACGCCTATAATCACAGCTACTCAGGAAGTAGAAATTGGGGGAATCAGAGTGAGTTTCTCCAAAGAATGATGACATTTGGCCAGCCTGGTTCATGAATTGCTGTTTTCTCAAATAAACTCTAAAATTTAATTGTGTGTTATGAAAAACAGATCACAGTAAGAGGAGGTCACATACAAGAAGAGGAAGGTAAAAGAAGGAAGTTAAGGTGAATATGGTTGATGTACTTTCTATACAAGAATGAATATAGAATTTTTAAACCTGTTGAAACCATCATAAAAAAAGGGACTAAAGTAGAAAGAAGAAAAATAGAGATGAACCAATTCAAGTTATAATACATATACACATGGAAATGTGTACATGTATCTTAAACAAACAAAAATGTAACTTTTCCTTTCTTTTGCAAATCAGAGAACAAGAAGGTGGAACAGATCCTGCCTGGGGGGCAGGGGGTACAGTGGGAGAGGGGGGAGAAGATAGGGAAGGGGCATGGGAGGGTGAACATGGTGCAAATACTGTGTACACATGTATGTAAACAGAAAAATGAGACCTGTTGAAACTATTCCAGGAATGAGGGGGGGAGATAAAGGAGAATGGTGGAGCGGGTGAATTTAACTATGATATATTTGATCTATTGTAAGAACTTTTGTAAATGACACAGTGTACCTCCACCCAGCACAACAATAAAAATAAAATTTCATTGTGCCTCAGCTCATCTTTCAACATCAGGAATGGAAGACATATTAAGCACCTATTTGTTATCTGCTTGTAGTCTATCTTCTCTCAAGACAAGCTCCACGAAAGCAGGGACCTTGTCTATTTTGACTACAACCATCTCCCCTGTATGGACATCACTGGCACATCACAGTGGTGTCTGAAATGTACTTGGTGGATTCATAAATGGACAGCTGACTCTGACCTGTTTTCCCAGCATGCATTTCATAAGCACTTCCTTAAAACTCCATCTCCCATCAAGGAAAACAGAAAGCATGCACCAGGCATACCTTACATGCCCCCACTCCAAGTCTTTGTTCCTGATCTACTCATTCTTCAACACTCAACTCAAATCCTGCCTTGGAGGATCCTGAGGACACAGCAGACAGAGCAAGGCATCAGGATTCAGCAAAGAAGGCAGCTCTGCCCAGCCCTTGCTGTGGGACCCTGGCCTCTCAGCTTAGTTGCATCACTCTAAAACAAGCAATGGATTTGTTCGCTTACTTGTGAGTTTTAGATTAGATGAGACAACTCAGAAAGGGGACTTGTATATCATGACACCTCCTTCCTCTCTCTATCTTCTTCTTCAAATCTCTCATTGATCCAAACAGCCACGCAATCTTTTACTCCTCTGTCAATCTAAAAACAGAAAATTGAAGCAAGGTTATCCAAAGAATGATGACACTCAGTGGGCTCTACATGTCCTCAGTGTTGGCACACAGTAGATGCTTAGGGACCACCTGTGGAAAGAACACCTGTGTGAATGACAAAAGACCCAAAGTCAGGAAGTCAGGCTGCAGCCAGCCTGGAAGGGAAGGTTTGGAAGGAGAGTGGGCACCACACCTTGAGGGGGTGGGGGACAGGTGTTCTTAATCTGTCCAGGGGCCAGCTCACCCAGAGAGAGGCAAAATCAAACAACAGGTACTGAAAATGGCTGGTGTAGCCCTGCACCATCTCTCTCTGCCACTCAGCTCTGTAAAAAACAGAGGGTTGGACTGGGTGATCTCTGGGAATAACAGCAAAGTGAGAGGGGAGTAGGTTGTAGAGCTGGTAGCTCCTTCTAGTTAGTGGTACAGCCTCAGACCCATCTCTCCACCTCTCTGGGAGTGTCTCCTCAGCTGTGAAGTGGTGTAAGTGACACCTCAGTGAGAGGGCTAATGAGTGGATTAAGGGGACTTAAGTGCATGTAAGAAGTTCTCCACACCTCTCTTTTTACCCCTGTCTTTTGCTGCCTCTGCTACTCCCGCTCTTGACCAGACACTGCCCCGAGTGGAAGGAAACTCACCCTCCCACACAACAACTCCACTGACCAACCATCAGGACAGGCTTCTTTGGGACTCTGCCCCTGGCCATGCAGCTCACCAAACTATTTTACTACACATGTGCGTTTTCTCCCGGCACAGAGGAAAACTCCACTGCCCAGCCCCCTTGCATTTAGGCAGTGTCAAATGACTCACCTGGCCACAGAATATGATCAGAAGTTCCTTGAACCGTTTCCACTCTGACTCATGCGAATTCCTCCTTTGTTCTCTCCCCTCCCTTGCAATCCACAGTTGGAAGATGGTGGCATCACTATTTGGAAGGTCCCTGAGTTAATGCCCAGCTGTGTCAGACCATGGCATGGGTGAGCAGTAGTAAAGCTCCTAAAATTGTTAGGATCACTTGTTACTGCCACAGAGCCTGGTCTCCCGGGCTAACCCAGAGAGGCTGACCCTCCAGCCCTCTTTACCTGTTTCCTATCTCAGGTTGAGTCCCTCCCTCTCCCTACTTCTCCTGCTCTGGGAGTAGGGACAAGCCTCCCTACCTTCCACTTTATCTCCCACCCCTACCCTCTGTAGGAGGACTGGATCCTAACACACGAATTCACGTTTGCCAGGATTTTCATTGCTTTTATGAAAATTGGCTCCTTATGGCCAGTGTGGCATCCTGGGGCTTCCCTGGGAAGAGCTTGGATCCAGTCCTGCCATCCCATCTACAGCACCCCCTTCGTCTGGGCCTCAGTTCCTTACATATACCATAAGGGGCTTGGAAAGAAAGCCTTCCCTGCTCTGACTTTGCAAGCCCAGAAAGTGTATCTGAGAAAGACCGCCTGCCTGACTCTCCCCCAGTGCACCTTGGCCCAGCCTCCAGCCTCTGGGTACTCCTAGCAGAGTAAACACAGTTTATTGGGCCTGGCTGTGCTGCCCCCACCTTCCCTTCTCCTGCTCCAGCCTGGCCAATTCCCCAGCACCACACCTCCCTAGAGCACCCATTTTCTATCCTCAGATTCCCCACTCCCCACTCCCGATTTGCCACAACACCTGCATCCAGGTCCTCTGGAGGTGGAGAGTTCTTCCCTTATCACCCCTTTACTGCCCCCTCCTCCTTGGTTACACAGTAATTTGGAGCAGAATTCCTGGCTGGGACAAATAAGTGAGTATCAGCTCTCAACGGTGGTTTATTGGGCAGAAAGGCAAGGTCTCTTGCATACTGTCTCAGAGTCAGGTGAGGGGCAAGAAGCAGAAGAGAATCAGAAAGACCCCCCAAAGGAAGAGACAGACCCCAGGCAGGAGGAGAAAATTTGACCTGTGAAGTGAGGTCAGGGAGAAGAGAGCAGAAAAGAAAGTCAGCCCAGAGAGAACAGAGAAGGGTCAAACCCCATAGTCCCAGCACAGAGAGGACATGGGCTTGGCAGTGATCCAACGATCCCCTTCCTCAGCCTCAACCTGCAAAACAACAGAGGCACAGACACCCTAGAAGGAACATTCCGGAGTCTGGAAGCAGCAGAATTAAAGGAAGTCCAGGAAGGCAACTGGGACGACCATTAAGCCGCAGTGCAGCTAAGGACTGAGTTGGCCACCTCAGGCTCACAAGTGGCACCCCAGGCTCCCAGGGGCTGGCCAGAGCCAGCAGGAAGAGGCCCCAAGCCAGAGAGAGGGCAAAGGTGCACACACTGGCTCCAGAACTCCAGAGGCCGACCTCGCCCTGCCAGCCCCTACGTGTCTTCTCTTCACTCCCCCTGGGCAGTGACCATGGGGATCCTGGCCTGCACTGGCAATTGTGAAAGCCATCTCTTCCAAGGAGACCCTTCTCTGGAAGACTAAATCCCAGCATGGTACTGCTCTTCATGTCAGGCTGGTGAAGTCTGGCCCTGCAACCCAGGGCACAGCACCTATCAGCTCTTCTGCTGGGAGCTGCCTCCTCAGTGCCGAGGGTGTTTCCACGTCCATGGAAGTCCCAGTGTCTGCAGAATCGTGCCTGGATAATCCATCGGGGGGCTTCCTGTTATCCACCTCTGTGTGCCATCCTGGTTCCAAGAACCTTTGGGGAGGAGGCACGCTGTCTGTCACCGACATCATCCGGGGCACACCCAGAGCCCCAGTCCTTGCCGCAGCCCACACAGTGTGCCACAGCAGGCCCTGCTCTCCACAGGGGCATGGAGAGGAAGAACTTGGGGTGCTGTGAGGCCTCAAAGAAGCTGGGGCTATCCTTCTCCATCGAGGCCATCCTCAAGAGGCCCACAGAGAGGAGGGATATGGTCAGAACACAAAGGGCAAGTGGAGAGGACCCCAAGCAGACAGCAGCCACAGGCTCCAGCCTGGTGAGGACCCCACAGGACCAGCCCCAGGGTAAGTGACTTCAAGCCATTTGTTTCTCTTCTTCTGGGCTCAGGCAGAGAGAAAGCAGCCTGGCCCATATCAATGGAAGAGAGGGCTGGAACACTCACAGGCATACAAGGTTCTGGGCCTTATAAACCTTTCAATCTCACCCAGAAACTGTGGTGTTTGGGATGTGGGATCTCAGTTGTAAATGCAGGGACCCAAGTCTTGTTCTCGTAGCCAGGCTATGGCCAAGAACGCTCGTTACCATTCATTGAGCACTGATGAAGTGGTGAGTACCGTCCTTTCATTTCAACAAAAATTATCATAACTGGACAGTTGGGGAACTTCATCTATGAAAGAAAAGTGGATAATGTCCCCAAGTTACACAGCTAGTAGCCAAGACCCAAGCTCAGGGCCTGGCTCTGGCTGTCCCTGGAAATGTGTTCTTTCAGACACATTCTTCTCCTCATGAGCTGAGTCCAAACTTTACAGCTTTCAATGGCTGAACCTTTGCTCTCCCTGACCTTCTTCCCAACCAATCTCATGTCACCAAATAAGTGACCAGATAGATTTCAAGTCCCTTAGAGCCGGCTTGAGGAGGGAGGAGAGGTAGCACTGCGGCAGTGAAGTGGACATGCCCTGCTAGGGAAGCCTGGGTGAAGGCTTCCATTCTACCTCGGCCCTCTGTGTGACCTCAGGAAAGCTCTGGTCCACTCTGGTCTCAGCTTCTTCCTCACTGAAACAGCTGGGGTAAAGGAAGAATGTGCTCAGCACATCTCAACAGCCTCTTGAGTCAGGTTGTCCACAAGCCTGGAGTATCTCACACAAGTTTCCCAGTTCTCTCCCCTTTTGCCCCATTCATCCAAGAAAATTCTAGAAAGGAAGCTCAGAGGAGCCCCTGACATCATTGCCTCCCATGCTTAGAGCCCTAGCCCTAACCCAGTATCCCGTGGAGGTCACTGATGGGGGCCAGGCTCAGCTGCATGCAAGGCGAAGACCCAGAAGGGCTACATATGCCCAGCAGCCTGGGAGCTGGCTGCTTTCCCTATAGCTGAGCCTGTCCATGGGAAAGGGCCCAACTTAACTTTCACAAGTTCATTAATATTTTCCAGTCAATTGGGCGTCCACAGAAGCAGTCCACAGGGGCTCTAACCTGGGGCTCTCCTGCTGCAGCTGCATAAAATGCATGACCCACCTCCAGGTCACAATGAGAGAGAAGGCAGGTGTGAGCTCTCCTACCAAGCATGGCTTCTCTCCCTAAGCCTAACACCATGAAGAGTAGAGAGGAGGCACCCTTCCCAAGCCTCCACTGGAGATTCTGGCATGTTCCATGTCTACTCCTGCTGGACCCATCCCCCAGAATAGAAAAATAGCAGTCATAACATTGGAGAGTGCCCATGGCTGTCCCAGCACTTTCCTGGTCATTGTCTCATCTCAAGGTCATGCTTCTGAACCCCACTTTGTAGATGACAAAACTCAGAAAAGAAATCCGTACAAAAACTCCATGAGCAGTTAGCACTAGAACTAAAACCAGGTAGCCTGAGGTTGTCCACTACTGAATGTAATCTAAACCCACATCCCCGACTCTGCTGGCAGTTTCAAGGTGGCATTGTGGGGAGAGGCACCCCCACAAAGCATTTACCTCGGTAGTTGTGTAATTACTTCTGCACTAATCTTCTGTTATAACAAAAGGCATTGGTTATCCTGTTGTGATCATAATGTGAGGTTTTCTTTCAAAATAGATGTATTTATTTGCACAAAGCAAAAAAAGTCCATTTGGGAAAATCCTAAGCAAATAATAGTGGAGATGGAGTACAAATATGTCAGCCAGTACAAAGGCAAATTGCAGAAATCACAATTGAACTGGAGTTGGTGGGACCTGCTGGGGAAGAAGAGCAGGGACTCAAGAAACTGGACTCCTAAGCCTAGATCTGGCACCAATCCTCAGGAGACCCTCAGGCAGGTCACTTCCGTCTCTGAGCCTCAGTCTCCCGGAGTGTAACATGAAAGAGCAGAGCTAGAACACTCATAAGGCCCCTCCCAGCTATGACATACCCTGACTGGTTCTACAGCAGGCCAGCTGCTGGAAAGTCTTGGAGGACTCCCTGATGGTCAATGTCCAGGACAGAATCTTCCTCCCTGAAGAAGGGTGGTCACAATGCCAGGTAGGACCGGAGCAGGGTGGCTAGAGGTGCTCCTGTCAAAAGTCCTGCCCTTGCCTGCCCCACAGGAGCCCCCACGGGCCAAGCCCAATCCATGTTGCCTCCCACCTCCATGTCCTCTGTCCCTTCTTGTGCTCAGGGTCCCTCTAGAAGGGCAACAGGACACAGCAATGCCTTCCTACCCCAGTAGTAGCAGGGGAGGAACTAATTCCTCTTGGCCTCATTTAACATGTCCAGGACTCCATGAAGTCTCAAGGAATTACCTCCTGTCCAACTAATGGAGGGACAGCTTGTCAAATTAGCATTTCAGGTCACACTTGAAGACTGTGATACTACCTAAAGGGCAGGGCCAGGAATTTGCACCCTAAGAAACCCTCAAATGGTTCTGACGTTGGCGGTCTAAGGTCACGCTTTAGCAGGCTGGGGCTCCGAGAGGTAAAGTGTCTTGCTCCAAGCAGGTACCAAAGCCAGTACGTGCCAGAGTCAGGACTCCAAGGCCCATTTAGCATTCTTCCTGCCTGGGGCTCATGGAGGTCACTAAGTTTCCTTCCCATATCTTCTCATTCTCATGGGGACCCTCATGATGGGTGGGTTGGGCCTTCCTACTCTTAGTCAATAGGAACATCCCTAACTGAAAGGACGCTGGGCCCAGCTGCCCACTCTCTCTCCTGGGAAGGGCAAGCCCCATAAAACAAGGAGATCCAGTAGGTCTGAGTAGAGACAAAGGCCTGAAAAGAAAGAAGACATGTCTTCCCCTTTCCTACTGATGGCACTCTGAAATCATAACCCTGGGAGAAAAAAAGAGAGGACAATGGGCAAGGAAGAGACCACAAGTATGGATTTCAAGACCCCTGGGGAAGTTATGTACATTCGTCCACCCGTTCATGAGATGGGCTGGTCATTCATTCACTTGATGAATAACTGCTGAGGGCTTACACTGGGCCAGGATGAGGGCTGGGGAGGTACAGGTGAGTAAATCCAGAGGCAGTGACCATCCACCACAGCAGGCTTAGGGCAGTACTGACTTCTGCCCATCTTCTCTGGTACAGCTGACCAGAGGCATTCTGGGTATTAGGAATACCCTATAGCAGGGGTCAGCAAAGGGCCAAATCATAATTTCAAGCATTGGTGACCAGTGATCTCTCGCCATTACTCACCACTGCCATTGGAGCTGGAAAGCATCTGTAGACTTTGTGTAAGGGAATGGCTACATTTGTGTTCCAATAAAACTTTATTTTATTAAACAGGCAGCGGGTGGGCCCTCATGTTGCAGCTTCTCCACCCCTGCCCTCACTCATGAGTGTGATATTCACAGTCATTCATGCACTGCCTCTGCCAGTCCCCAGGCTCATCTCCAACCCTAACCCCACTGTCTACCCTAAAGCACATGGAGCTACCCTGGGACTTCCAGAACTTTCCTTCTTCAAATATCTCACATCAAAAGCCATGGCTTCACCCTTTAAAAGCCATGGCTCCCCTTCCCCCTTCTTCTTTCTCTTCTTCTTCTTCCTCCCCCTCAGTCTTAGTTACTGTGACTGTCATAACAAGACACAACAAGGCAAATGTCTTAAAACATATTCCATCACAGTTCTGGAGTCCAGACGTTGAAATGCAGGTGTGGGCAGGGTCAGTTGCCCCCATAGCGTCCAGGGGGAAATCCAATCCATGCCTCTCTTCTGGATTCCAGTGGTTCCCACAAGCCTCCACCTTTTTTGGTCCAGCCTTCTGCCTCCATCTGTACAAGCATGGCCTATGTGGGTCAAGTCTTCTTCCTCTTTTAAAGGACACCAGTCACTGAATTTGGGCTCTGCTCTAAATCCTAGATGATCTCATCTTAAGAGCCTTAACTTAATCATACCTACAAAGACTCTATTTCCAAATAAAGCCACATTTGTTATTACCAAAGGTTTGCATTTGGACATAGATTTTGAGAGACACTATTACATCCACTACACCTTGTCCCCCTTCATTTTCCCTTCCTCCTTTCCCTTCTCTTTTCCCTCTTCTTTCTTTTCTCCCTCTCTCTGTCCTCTGTCCCTTGATCTCAGCCTCTTCCCCCTCACCTGCACTGTCCAGGACCAAAGACAGTTGCTCTTACCTGGACACAAAGGCAGCCATGGCTTGGAGCTGTGAACAAGGCCTCCAGTATCTCACATCACCTTGAGATTAATGGCTTTGGCTCTCCAACAGGTGGACCCAGGGCTCCCATCACAGCAGACAGGAGTAGGGCATGAGGAAGCAGAGCTGAAAGCTTATGCTCCCCCCATACAAAAAAAAATACATGAAGTTTGTTCTCCATCCCGTGGATCCCATCTCTCAGTTCCTGCCCCCCAGAGCCACAAATTAACCTGAACATTCCATAGCTTGGTCTTGGACCTGGTGTGAGTACAAGAAAGTACCAGGCAAGACCCCTACTTGCAAAAGAAATATATGGAGCTCTCAGCTAGGCATGGTGGCTTACCCTATAATCCCAACATTCAGGAGGCTAAAGCAGGAGAATCCAGAAGTCAAGGCCAGTGTAGGCTACATGGAAAGATGCTGTCTCAAAAAAACAATAAAAATAAAGAAGAAATTACGTTAAAGAAGAAAAGTGTTCTAGCCCATAAAGACACACATAGAAAGGTTAGCAAGATGCAAGTAGGGCTTTGACAAGGTCTTCCACAATCCCACAACCCTAGAGTATCCAAGCTAGGAGAAATCTGAATGCACAGAGGAAGAGACTCAGTGTGGCTATAATTTAAATTGGATTTTTCCATTGTATTCTCTCTGAGCTTACCACACTTGCTACTGAACATCTTCTGAGTACAGGCATATCTACTGTATAACAAATCATCTGAAAACTTAGTGGCCTGAACTAACAATAAA